GGGGAGGGAGCTACTGTTGTCTTTCCACATTTTTATACATTTCCCATCTTCTTGGTTTCTAAAATTCTCCATTGCTGTTGGGCAATGGCAAGCAAGTGCTTTTCTTTATTCTGATGTGCTTAGAAGTGAATAATAAAAGCTTATTGGTGGAGGGCAGATTCTTCCAACATTAAAATTTTATAGGGAACTTGCCTTTGTAAAATTTTATATTAGAAAAGCCAGTAATAAGAAAAACAGGTCTGTTCTAGGTCACATATGACTCCATCAAATAAGATTGATATAGCAAGAAGATAAAGCATAGTAGAATAATATTTGATTTGGCAAACTATATATTTAAATTCCTTTTTATGCTAGAATGCTATAGGTAAAGTGCTGAAAACTATGTCCTGAAAATTATGTATTTTTGTGACACATAATAAAATCTTAGAGCATGCTTATTCTATCCCATAACCAGAAGTTGTCAAAATTATTGTAGGTGCAGAATTTTGGAAGTAATGGGGCTATTTGCAGAATGCCATAGAATATATATTATTATATCACTATACTATATACAGTTTCAACCATAAAGATTTATGTACAGGGCAGTGGAGTAAATCCCAGTAAATCATAAGCCATATTTTCAAAAGTAAGGAGCTCAAATCTGTGTGCAAAGATGGGTTTAAATTCTAGTTTCACCAATTACTAAAGAGTGCTGTTAAGAAACAGATTACCCTTTCTCTAGCAGGAATGGCCAGCTCTTAATAAAGTTTTATGCTCCTTGTCCATAGTATGGAGATATTGTCAGGCAGAGACTTCTAGGTCATGGTCTCAATTTCCCAATTCTTCTATATGAAGCCATATGACTGGTTATCACTAGTGGAAGGTGAGAAGGAATGAAGTGTATCATTTCTAGGCCAACAGGGTTAAGAAACAGATGTGCCTCCTCTCACCTCTCTTTGATTTCCACAGTGACTTTGGAAACCATGTGTTGAACATAGAGGAGCTACAACAAAGATCTTCAGTCTTGAGTCACTGCAAGGAAAACTATCCACTCAGCACTCTCACTGGACTATTGTATATAAGACAAATAACTTTCTATTGGTTTAGCCACTAAAATGTTAAGATTTTCCTGTTTTAGCAGCTAATGGGGGGTTTAACTTTATTTTTTCTTACAGATAAAGTGAGGGTATAGGCATATAAACTTCACATATACACTGATCATCAGGGTTCTATTTAAGTGAATGCATGTGGAACATGAAGTACAGAGGAAACTCTCAAACAGAGGTTGAATATTGTCATGAGGGTTTGCTGGCATGATTTTTATATGACCCTGTAAATTTTGCTAACACCAGATTTCCTAGAGGACTCGCAGTAGCAGACACCAAAGTATTACACATAAATATATGTGGAAAATAATGAAAACTGAGAATGATGTCACTTTTTCCTCTGTAGGGAGAAAGGTTTCTATTATTTCAGTTTGCTGAATGAAGTCTGCCCTGGGAAACGTTACCTTAAAATCCAGCTGAGCAGCCAGTGTAGCTTTGCTCCATGCATAAAATAGGGAATCAGAGCACAGAGCCTCCATCTTTTTCACTTCACTTCTCTTATTTTAAGCGATTCGTTTTTGAGCATCTTTTGTCATACTGGTTGATTTTACTTATCCTTAAAAGCAGGAGGGATGGCAGGGGAGCAGTTATTGGTAAAGCTCTCAGGTAACGGAGTGGGAAATCTGTCACAGGCTTCAGATATAGGCAAAACACGAAGGCAAAGTAAATGTGAAGGGGAGAGAAGTGGACCAGTGATGGGAGCGGTACATCTCTAGAGCCAGTGATGTGAGGAGGGATGTACAAAAGTCGCACAAATTTCAATTTACTCCTCTGCCACAGTCTTAAGACTACTGATTTTCATTATTCAAATGGTCTGTTTCCAAAAGCAATTCTATCCCATTGAAGAGAAGTGCTGATATTTCCAGATACAAAACAACAACCCACAAAAACTCACACAAGGTAATATTCAAATGTTGTTTCTCTCTTTAAACTCTGTCCATAATGAATATCTACCCTTTCATTTACAAAGTCCATCAATGTGTTGTTTAATATATGAAGACTTTTTTAGGTTTGTGAAACATTGGTTGTTACTATTTGGGACCATTTCTGTTTGGTATAGTTTACAGGTTTCCCGCAATATCCAAAAGCAGGACATTTCTGTGAGAACATTCATAAGCTGAATTGGCATAAAGCAAAGAGTATATACTTCTTCCCAAAGTTCTTAACAGGCCACAGGTTTTAGGAAAGACCTACATTAGTACTTAAAGGAAACCCAAGAGGATTTTTACTTTTGAGAAAGCAGTCCTTATCAAACTAATGTAGGTCTTTTGTAAAAGAAAGGTGGTGTAACCGAAACTTTTGGAAAGCAGCTGATAACCTTAGTGTGACATAGATTGTTATACACAAACTGGTTGAGATTATGAATTTGATATCAACAGCTGTAATCAAAAGCAGCCTATGTTCCTGCCCATCAGTAGCTGAATGGAAAAAAAAAAAAAAAAAAAAAAAACAAAAAAAAACAAAAAAAAACAACTGTGGTGCATTTATACCATGGAATACTACTGGGCCATAAAAAAGAAAGAAATTTTACCTTTGCAACAGCATGGATGGACCTGGAGAGCATGATGCTAAGTGAAATGAGCCAATCAGGGAAAAACAAGTACCATATGATTTCACTCATATGTGGAACCTAATGAACAAAACGAACTAACAAGCAAGATAGAGATGGACTCAAAGAGAGCAGGCTGACAGTTGGGAGGATGGTTGGAGACAGAGGTGGAGAGACTGAGCAAAAAAGAAAAGAATGCATGGACACGAGCAACACGGGTGATTGCTGGAGAGTAGGAGAAAGTGGAGGAGGCTAAGTCGGGTGTAAATGGTGATGGACAGAGACTTGACTTGGGGTGATTAACACATAGTACAGTGTATAGATTGTGGAATTGTGTATCTGAAACCTCTATACTTTTGTTAACCAGTGTCATCCCAATAAATTAAAAAAAAAAAAAAGAAAAAAAAAGTTTATTTCAAAATATATTTCCCCACCTTATATTTTTAATCTACAATAGAAAGGTTTTTGGAGAAAATAATAGAAGGTAAGATATTTGTTCTAAAAACAAAAATAAAAATAAAATATTGAGTCCTCAAACCTTACATCCAGAACTAAGTAATTATTCAATAGAGTTTGTGGATTCAATGTGTGGTGGTGATGTATGAATAAAATCTGACACTGTGGTTACCTTTCAAGTTTATACAGGTATGTAGTGTGAGGAGACTGGATTTGGGTCATTAAAATTTTGGAGAAGTACCTCATAATGTGCTGCATGTTTATTAGCAGAGAAGCTTCTATTGACTGGGCAATTCTATCATGTAAGAATGTTCTCTGAGCTGCTGAGTCTGTCAGCTAATGTCAGTGAAGAACCTGAAGGCCTCAGGCAAGGCTGAGGGTCCTTGATCCAAATGGTCATTAACTGCCAAACACACCTGAGCTGGAGGGTACGAACACTGCAGAGGTATCAGTAAAACCAAGAAAATCTGTACTAATGAAATACCTTACACTTGAAGGTTTGATTTGTTTTCAAAATTTCCCTTGTAGATTTTTATTCCTACTTATTCTAGCAAATGACTGATGGAAAATAACATGATTTCCACAATAGGAGAGATTGAGATTGATAAAGACAGATAGAGCTAGAGCAGATATATCAAGAGAGGAGGGAAGGAGGGAGAGAATAATAAATATCCATGTATACTTTAGGTTTTCATACAAATCTTTTATGGTGTTCAGTTGATCAAAATAGCTTTTAAATTTAACTTAGATAATCAACATCAAAATGTAATCTGTAGCAGAGCTTCTAAAAGGACCCTAAAGTCCTAAAAGCTACTTTTAACTGTGCCATGGTCTCTGAAAAAGTTACTTATTCACTTCTGGCTTCAGATTCCTTATTGACAACATGAAAATGACACATTTTAAAATTTTCTTTAAGTACTGTTGTTAGAATTTAATAAAAAATTAAGTCTCTTGTATAACTATACAATTTACACTGTATATAAATATATCAAATTGAGTAGTATAGATTCAATAAAGAGAAGTATCAGTATCAATCAGTAATATTTTTACTAATTTTATCAGCTAATTAAATGAATTATCTTTGCGCATGCTCTGGTTATCTAATTGTATATTCCCAAAGATACAATTTTCTAAATTTGACTACCTTGGCAATAATTCCATATCCTTTTCTATATTACTCATGAATTTATTGGGCATTTAATATAGTTTAAATATCTACAATTCTTTGGAATTTTTTTTTCTTTGGAAAACCTATCTTGGTGATAATTTACTGGTTTTCTCTTATAAGGGGAGATCAATGGAGATATAAATAGTGTGAGGACCATCCTTTCTTTCATATAATCTTGAAATTTCTCCCTTTTCTGTTTGAGTGCAGTAAGTACCAGGCACTTTGGTACATTTTCTTGAAGTCAACAAAGGCATGTCAACTGACCCATCTATAAATATGCTCTGCATTCCTCTCTGGGCTGTCACAGTGTGATTTCATCATGATGTAAAGCAAAGGACCATTGGGAATGCACTCAGAAACATTTGCCCAGGTTAAGAGGACAGAAACTGTTAAGCTGAAGGGAAATCTTCTTTCCCATGACTAGCTCTGTCCAGAAATGCTTGGTTGAAGAGCCTTGCTTACTCGATGTTGGTCCCCAAGCCTTGAATGAAAATACTTCTTTAACAAGAGAGTTTATCACTGGCATTAAATGGAGCGAAGATGATATGCCTAATTTTATTTTATTTTTTTTACAGTTTTCTTGTTTAGTTCATGTTTTTGCCCTCAGTGCTTTTATTTCAGATACTTAACAAAACTTTATTTTTAATTATTCTTCTGTAGCTAAGTTCTACTTCAATTTGCCCATCACTGGTAACTTAACTAGTTGCCCCCTCCCCCCCAAAAGCAATAGTCAAGCCTGCGGTGGGCGGGGAATGTGGCTGGTAATCTGGCAGCCTCCGAGAGAGAAGATTAAAAATGCCAGAGCCATTTAACAGATGGTTAGCTGTTGAATTCTGACACTTCTTTTAAATAGCTTCCTGCACCAAGGTCTCCACTGGGAAGAATTCAGGAAAAATAGCAGTGGAGAAGAGAGTCAACACATGTACCATGGCTATACCTATAACAGTGCTTGATTGCGAACTCTTACTGTATGGCCGAGGTCACCGGACATTGGACCGTTTTAAGTTGGATGATGTGACCGATGACTACTTGATGTCCATGTATGGGTTTCCTCGACAGTTTATTTATTACTTGGTGGAGCTCTTGGGAGTGAGTCTTTCTAGACCTACTCAGAGACCCAGGGCTATTAGCCCAGAGACACAGATCCTCGCAGCACTGGATTTCTATACGTCAGGCTCCTTCCAGACTTGGATGGGCGATGCTATAGGAATCAGCCAGGCATATATGAGTCGATGTGTTGCCAACGTCACCCAAGTGCTTGTGGAAAGGGCCTCGCAGTTCATTCGCTTTCCAGCTGACAAAGCCTCCATTCAGGCTCTGAAGGATGAATTCTATGGGTTGGCTGCGATGCCAGGGGTACTAGGAGTGGTTGAATGTATCCATGTGGCAACCAAGGCACCAAATGCTGAAGAACTCTCCTACGTGAACCGCAAAGGTCTGCATTCTTTAAACTGCCTGATGGTGTGTGACATCAGAGGCGCACTAATGGCTGTGGAAACAAACTGGCCAGGCAGCCTGCAGGACTATGCTGTGCTGCAGCAGTCTTCTCTCAGTAGCCAGTTTGAAGCTGGCATGCACAAAGAGAGCTGGCAGCTTGGAGACAGTTCTTCCTTTCTCCGTACCTGGCTTATGACACCACTTCACATTCATGAAACTCCAGCTGAATATCGCTATAATGTGGCCCATTCTGCAGCTCACAGTGTGATTGAGAAGAGTTTCCGAACCCTCTGCTTCCGATTCCGCTACCTGGGTGGGTCCAAGGGGGCTCTACAGTACTCACCAGAGAAGTCCAGCCACATCATCTTGGCTTGTTGTGTCCTCCACAACATCTCCTTGGAGCATGGAATGGATATTTGGTCCTCTCCAATGACAGGACCCATGGAACAACCCCCTGAGGAAGAGTATGAGCACATGGAGTCCCTGGGCCTAGAGGCTGACCGGATCCGTCAGGAGCTGATATTCACTCATTTTAGCTAATGTGAAAGGTTGGGGGGGGGGTGGAGAGGAGGAGGGGGGAGGTGGGAGCGGGGACGGAAACTTCCCAGAAGGAGCTATGACAAACTTTCTGCTTCACCAGCCTCTACACAGTACCATCATCTAGCATAACTAAGTGTGGACACTTGTCACAAATTTACATTTAATCTGTGTGTTTTTTAGAAGAGTTGTGGCTATACCAGAACATTTTGATTCATTTGTATTTCTATTATTATTAACTGAAAAACTAGGACAACACTTCCCTACTATGCATTGAACTCCAGGTTGAGCCTCAATTACTTGACAGCACACTGGTTGCGGACATTTATGATTGTGCCTATAAGCAAAGGAGAAGATGGCATCTAGCCAGAACACTTTCTTTCTGTTTCAATTATCTGGAGATTTCAAATGAAAACAATATTTATTTTTCCTGAATTATTTGGGTGGCATTTTAGCTTTTCTACTTTGCTAGATAGGCATAATTTGAGGCAAGTGTAAAAAGTACTATAGCCGGCTGGTGTGGCTCAGTGGTTGAGCATCAATCCACGAACTAGGAAGTTAACAGTTGCTTTCTGGTCAGGGCACATGCCCGGGCTGTGAGCTTCATTCCCAGTAGGAAGTGTGCAGGAAGCAGCCAATCAATGATTCTCATCATTAATGTTACTATCTCTCCTTCTCCCTTCTTCTCTCTCTCAAATCAATAAAAACATTTTTTAAAGTAAAAAATAAAAATAAAAAAAAATAGTCAAACCTGCTTTCTATAATATTGGTGAAGAAGAATGAATTGCAAAGAACTTTCAGTCTTGATTTGGTTTAGATTTAAGAGTAAAAGAAAGGGATAGAGAGAGTTACAAAGCTCTTCATTTTATGATGTCACTTTGTAAAATGGACCCTTTCCTGTCACACAATGTCAAAGCAACATGATCAGTTTGCTTCATGTTCCCTATGGACCAAGGCAGAACAAATGATTGACAGTGCTGCATGGAGGTAAAGCTATACCAGAAAGCAATTTCAGTGTGGTGACAAGACTAAGGAGGAGGGAGATGCTGTGCTGGCAGTAACGCGGGAACCCAGGGAGGGGCAGTTCCTCCATGTAATGTCCCCTAACTTCTCCACGAGCTCCTCTGGGCTGTATCCTCCCCAAACACTGCAGCTCACAGCCATGGGAACCCAGATAGAACAATGCTCAGTGCTGAACAGCAGGAGGCATTTGACAGTTATCACAGAAATGGGCTCTTCTTGGAGTTCACCTACCTAAACATCCATGAGAAAAAAGGTACACACACATTGAGGTTTAATCATTCATTTTGAGCATTAAAAAAATCCTCAAAATTTATTTTTCCTAAGTACTGACACACTTTAATATTTATATTATTTCAGAGTTTTGTTTTTTAGATTTAAAATTTAATAATATCTACCAAGCAATATATTCTTACTATTAATAACCTCCAATGCACTGTCATTGTAAAGCTAAATGTGCTTCTCTAGCATGAAGCTCTGTGGAGTGAGATGGTCAACAAGAGGAGGGTGTCCTTTTCTTTCTAGTGCAGCCCCTTAATACAGAATAGACCAGAGGACTTTCCAATCCCATGACTGGTGATTAAGATGCCGGCAAAGTTTAGTCTAACCCATTTCAAGGGAAATTCACCTTTTCTATTATTTTTTAATTTAAAAGGATTTTATTTTCCCAATATCATTCCACTTGGGTAAAATATGAATAGATGAATAGATGAGTTAATCAGAGCTGATTAAATACAACTTTTTCTGGTTATGCACTCCATTTCATCTAATCATGTGAATTCAGATAGCTTAAAGGAAAAAATAAAAAAACAGAGCAAACTATAAAGTTGGAAATTAGGCATTGCTTTGGTTGTGAACAAGCTGGGATGTTTGGCAGGATGACAATTAAACTGGAGGATGCTAAATTCTTTCCAGTATTGATAAGTCCAGTCCATCCATTCTGCATTGTGTCCACATCTTTTGGACTGAGAGTCTGGCAAGTAGAAGGGGGATTTATCTTCTTGGAAAATATGACTTAGAAAATCAACTCAAGTGAAACTGCAGAAGCCAAAGGGTGAAAGAGAGATCTAGAATTTTTTTTTTAGTTCTTTGCTTTTAGTTAGATTGTGTTATGTGATTCTATGTATTTAATTAAAGAGATTTCCTAAAAAGGAGCTAGAATTGAAAAGATGATCATATTAATGATAATTTAAGACAATGTCAGCATTTATCTCATTTAAAAATAAATCCAAATCAGTTAGAAGGCTTTGCCTAAACCATTCCTGTTCAAATAGGTCAGACAGTTTCATCTGTTTTCCTATCGATGCTATGTTACCTGAATATGTTTGAATTTCTTCTAAGCTTTTGTGTCTGTGTTTTGCTGCCATTTTCCTCTCAGCATCATCAATGTGCTTGTGCTATTTCTCATGCTACTCTTAAAGGGAATGAACCTGGAATTAAAGGTGTTCAGGTATCTATTGTAGATCTATCTAAATAGCAAAACTTTCTCTGAAAACCACCTTATCAGTATTCATGCACTTGCTCTGAGCAGTAGTTGAAATTAGATATTTTACTGAGTCATCTTTATATAGCATTTATTATTACATGGTAAGTTAGTTATAAATATTTATTATGTGGTAAGTTAGTTTTAAATATTTTACAAAATTTAAAGCTAAATTTTAACTTACTCTGTATAACCATCAGGTTATTACCTAAAAAGTTTTATTTTTATTCATAATGCTCAGATGAGGAAATTCATGCACAGAGCTGTTATAGAACTGTGCATGTTCACTTGGGAGCCAGCATTAGATCCAGGATTTAAGCCATTTACGGTGTTCCAGAGAGTCTGTTAACCCATGCCTGCCAATCTAGTTGTATTGGTCATCATGGTAATCATAAAACAAAACAAGAAATAAGCTTAACAATCTAGTCAAACTTTAGTGAGGAAGTAGATTTACTTTGCATCAAGTTAGCAAGTATATTAGATGCATGATATATACCAAGCAAGATGTCCCCTAGTACACTAGCATTAATGCAAAGTTAGGTCCAGAAAGAGTCGGGGGCCAGGAATGGAAGATGTAGAATAAATCATATAAAATATTTAAAGTTATCCTGTTGGCTATGTATCATTGATTAGTAACTAATACAATAAGAAACATTTATCTAATCTTGCTGAAGAGTTATTTTTGAGACTTTTATAGCAAATGCCACACTAATTTTTATTCTGGTAAAATTAGAAACTGAGGCTTTAAAGCTAAATTGAGATTTCAAAACTGTACAATAACAATCTCAAATGATTTGGTCTCAGAATTCCTTTACATGCTTAAAAATTATTGAGGGCCTCCAAAATGTGAATTATATTAGTCGATGTTTATATTAGTAATTAAAATAGGGAAACATTTCAACATTTAATTTTTAATTTACTTAAAATAATAATATCATTACATGTTGACAAAAAGCATATTCTTATGAAAAACAACCATATTTATTGATATAAAAAATAAGGATTGCATTGTTTTATATTTTAAAAATTTCCTTATTGTCTGGTCTTAATAGAAGACAGCTGGATTCTCAGACTTGTTTCTCTATTCAGTCTATTATCTCACACTTCTTGTACTCTCTGGAAAACTCCATCATACATTTAAATATATATATATATATATATATATATATATATATATATATATATTATTGATTTTTCACAGAGAGGAAGAGAGAGGGAATAGAGCGTTAGAAACATCAATGAGAGAGAATCATCGATCAGCTGCCTCTTGCACACCCCCTACTGGGAATGTGCCTGCAACCAAGGTACATGCCCCTGACCAGAATCGAACCCAGGACCTTTCAGTCCGCAGGCCGACGCTCTACCCACTGAGCCAAATCAGTCCCGACTCCATCATACATTTTTGAGCGAATGAGGGTGAAATAGGAAAATAACATCTTGGTTTATTATGAAATTAGCTTTGACCTCATTAACCCTTGACCATACTTTGAGGACCATTGTTATAGAATGAATCTGCTGCCCACTTAATTTTTTTGTTATGCTATATATTTTCATCTCTTTGCACTAATACTAAATGAATGATAACTTTAGTAATTCAATGTATTACTTTAAAAAAAAAAGCAACAACAACACAAGGTGACTCCTTCCTAGCACTGTACATTTCATGTATTTAAATATCTATGAATAAAACATAAATTTTAAAAAATGAAGATGAATGATAGCTTCAAGTACTTCACCACCTGAGAAGTTACAATATGGTGCACTATGCACGCAGGTTAATTGAGCACCAGATTAATTGAACCAGATGGATCGACAGACAGATGGATATATAGATAGATAAAGAATTAGATGTATCTGAAACTATGTCTAGACATCTATGTTTGGCTTAATAAAACACATATTGTTTTTTATCTGTTGTTTTATGATGCAAATTAGCAGTCTAATAATTTGTCCTATTTACTTTATCTACCTGGGCTCCTTTTTAAAATAATCTGCAAACATGGAGATATTGACTAAATCAATAATGACAATGCTATTCTTATACAATTGAAAACACTGGCATGGATAGAATAGCCTAGAAAATATTAGATGTTAATGATTCTTAGAATAGTTTTAAATGTGTCTACTGTTAACTTTGTTGAGGCTGAAATGCAGGCCCACAAGTAATAAGAGTGTCTTCCAGTTTGTAAAATTAGTAAATATTGTGGCTTGTCTAGCTCCTTTAGTTTTCCCAAGGTTGAATAGGCGTGGGGTCTTCTCATTTTACACAGGATGCTTGTCAATTGCCTTCTATTTACACATATCTTTTGAAATAATTCTGTTCCTTTTTAGTGTCCAAATTTGGCAAACACAGAGCCTTTTCAGTAAATATTGTGATTTAGTTTTAAAGAGAATAATTAGCTTTTATTGTTTCAGAAGAATAGTTGAAAATTTTCAAAATGACATTTTGAAGGAAAGCACAAACAAAACAAAACAAAACAAAACAAAACAAAACAAAACAAAAATAAGAACAAAGAAGAGAAAGTTTTTGCCCACAGGATGGTAAACATTTTGGGAGAAAAGAAAGAAAGAAAATAGCAAATAAGAGAGGTGTGTGTGTGTGTGTGTGTACCCTACACTTTCCAAGAAAAGTTGACATTGCAATGATGATGCAAACTGATCTTTTCTGCTCCAGTGAAGAGGTTTCTAGCTGAAATGTTTAAATTATTATCAAGTAGGACAGAGAAACAAAGTCTGGGCTCTGCTCTGTAGCTGGAACTGCCTTGGTGTGGATGAAAGCTTGAGTGGCAGCACCCAACTGCCAAATAGCCACACACAATAGGAGAGTTCTGTGTTTCAGTTGCTAAGGGGACTCCAAGATCTCCTCCCACACTTGGAGGCAAGGAGACCCTTCTTTCCTTGGCATTTTACATTGGCAGCACAGGGAGGGTTTGTTATAATTAACAAACTCTCCATTAGGAGGGCTCCACAGAATGTTCCTAAAGACAGCAAATTCTAAAGAATGTCTTAAAATATATACATTTACTTAGAGCAAACCGTAACAAAATAGGGTGAATAAATACATTCAAAATCAAGACTTTTTCTTTGTTTTTTTTGTTTTTTTGTTTTTGTTTTTGTTTTCCTAAAGGTGCATTTATTCCATATTTTTACAGACTAATCTGAAGCTTCTAAAATCTGGAGTTTTTTTTTT